CCAGCATCATGAACATAAAACGAAGTACTGTCAAGGACCAAGAAACATCCTTCCTTCCAATTGCAGTGAGGGCCTTAGATTTAAGAATATTGGAGAAGTAGAGTACTCGGAACATGGAAGCCATTGAGCAGGAGTCAATGGAGGGTGTTACAGGAGTTGCACAGGGTGGGTAATGGTGGTAGGTGGTTGGTGTGTTAACAGTTCACACGTCCAAGCAGTCCAGAGGTAGATGTCAGTACTTATGGTGAAGGTATAGAATAGCATGGATTTAATCTCTGATTTAGTCTCAGCATGCTTCTAATCCATATCATAGATAGATGGGTAGTTGTTCTCTATTAATCCATTGAGTTTGCTGACAAAGTATTTGAAACATTACTTTAATTGAGTCTCCAATATAGGATAAATGCCATTATCACGTATGCGATGTAAGTAGGTTTGGAGGGGTGCATTTTCAAAATGGTAGTGTAAAAATGCTTCCAGTCCATAACATAGATGACTAGTTGTTCTCTATTAATCCATTGAGTTTGCTGACTACATATTTGAAATGGTTCTTTAATTGAGTCTCAAAGATGGGTTAAATGCCATTATAGTTTGGGTCCTGGATGCTGATCGGCTGAAAGCCGTGGTATATCAGACAACACACCATGGGTATGATGCAAAAATAATTGTTTACTGTTCTATGTTGGTTACCAGTTTATAATAGCAATAAGGCACCTTGGGGGTTTGTTGTATTTGGCCAATATACCACGGCTAATGGCTGTATCCAGGCACTTCACTTCGCGTCATGCCTAAGAACAGCCCTTAGCCATGGTATATTGACCATATACCACACCCCCTCAGGCCTTATTGCTTAATTACTATGAATGCGATATGTGTATTTTCAAAATGGTACATATTTGAAACAGTATGTTAAACTTTCAAGTCTCCAATATGAGCTCAGGTGCATCCTGTTTCCATTGATCATCCTTGATGTTTCTACAACTTGATTGGAGTCCACTTGTGGTAAATTCAATTTATTGGACATGATTTGGAAAGGCACACACCTGTCTATATGACAGTGCATGTCAGAGCAATAACTAAGCCATGAGGTCGAAGGAATTTTCCATAGAGCTCCGAGACAGGATTGTGTCGAGGCACAGATCTGGGGAAGGGTACCATAAACCTTCTGCAGCATTGAAGGTCCCCAAGAACACAGTGGCCTCCATCATTCTTAAATGGAAGAAGTTTGGAACCACCAAGACTCTTCCTAGAGCTGGCCGCCCGGCCAAACTGAGCAATTGGGGGAGAAGGGCCTTGGTCAGGGAGGTGACCAAGAACCCGATGGTCACTCTGACAGAGCTCCAGAGTTCCTCTTTGGAGATGGGAGAACCTTCCAGAAGGACAACCATCTCTGCAGCACTCCACCAATCAGCCCTTTATGGTAGAGTGGCCAGACAGAAGCCACTCCTCAGTAAAAGGCACAAGACAGCCCGCTTGGAGTTTGCCAAAAGGCACCTAAAGACTCTCAGACCATGAGAAACAAGATTATCTGTTCTGATGAAACTAAGATTGAACTCTTTGACCTGAATGCCAAGCGTCACTTCTGGAAGAAACCTGGCACCATCCCTACGGTGAAGCATGGTGGTGGCAGCATCATGCTGTGGGGATGTTTTTCAGCGGCCGGGACTGGGAGACTAGTCAGGATCGAGGCAAAGATGAACGGAGCAAAGTACAGAGAGATCCTTGATGAAAACCTGCTCCAGAGCGCTCAGGACCTCAGACTGGGGCAAAGGTTCACCTTCCAACAGGATAACGACCCTACGCACACAGCTCCCAATTTCCTTAACTTTTTGAATGAAGTTACTGGCTATAAACATATCACACAATTCACTGGCGACAATCTGTTTAGAAGAGGTTCAGAGAATGGAGCATCTCTCCCTTTCATGCATATTCTGCGTGATAACATAATGTAGTGCTGTCCCAGACTAAAACATGTACAGTATTTTTCCATATATTGACACATCCTATGTGTTTTATTTCAACCAACTATATTCACTGAGCTTGTCTGATGCTTTAAGCACGCCGTTTGATTAAATAATTAAGACACACAAATGACTAGATGGAGTCCGACCAGCAATTGATTTGATTGTGCCAGGGTCAAACTTGCTGCACTGTGTTAAAAAAAAAAGACGACTATGTGACTAGCACCTGTTTCCTCTCTCTCCTCCCTGCTGCAGCACATAATTACATTACCCAACCTGCCCAGTAAAACTAATCCCGTCTGAATAGGGCTCAATAGGGCCTGACCTATAACATATTATAATCACATCAATAAATTGGTTATAACAAACTCTGAACACCGTAACACATGACAGCAAAATGGATGTAGAGGACGTGACAAATAAACTTCAAATGGGAGAATGTTTACTGGTTGTTCAGGAGGTAAAGGGAAAGTCAGATGTTTGGAATAAATTTGACTAGTTACTGGAGATCAAGAAAAATAAGGTAAGGAGCAAGCGCTGCGTGCATATTATGTGTGCCAAAAAGGTGCTGTATAGATTACAATATAATTTGGATCAATGTACACACTAAATAAATTAAAACGTACCAGAGAGTCTGTTAGCATTTTTTTGTTAAACCTTTTACAGCAAAGACCAAAATAGTAGCATACATCCGTGAACGCAACTTCCAAAATGGAACGGTTTATTTGTTTAAGCTAATTATTCAACGCTCTCTTTATTTTAAAACGCTTGATTGCATTTAAAATCATGAATGACTCGTATGCTGTGTGATGACATGAACAAATGAATGATTGATACAGTAGCCTATATAAGTATTGAAATATAGGCCTAAGTAAATTACGGTATTAAGACTAAACAGGATGCACTCTTAGGCCTACAGCTCAATGGTGGTTATACAAGGCTGCTTACTAATGATAATGACATTACTTATGATCATAGATTGTGTTCTGTTAGACAGGTAACTCTTTATCCACAATATAGGAGGGGGTGTAAAGCCATAACACATACGTTTTTCCAGCAGCAGGCTATGATCGATAATGTCAAAAGCAGCATTGAAGTCTAACAAAACAGCCCCCACAGAGGGTGTTCTTTAATGGAAGCCTCTCCAGGTAGAATCAGGAATTCCCCAGAGCAGCTGTCTAAGCCCCTTGCTTTTTTCAATATTACTAAAGACATGCCACTTGCTTTGAGTAAAGCCAGTGTGTCTATGTATGCGGATGACTCAACACTATACACGTCAGCTACTACAGCGACTGAAATGACTGCAACACTTAAAGAGCTGCAGTTAGTTTCAGAGTGGGTGGTAAGGAATAAGTTAGTCCTAAATATTTCAAAAACTAAAAGCATTGTATTTGGGACAAATCATTCACTAAACCCTAAACCTCAACTAAATCTTGTAATGAATAATGTGGAAATTGAGCAAGTTGAGGTGACTGAACTGCTTGGAATAACCCTGGATTGTAAACTGTCATGGTCAAAACATATTGCTACAACAGTAGCTAAGATGGAGAGGAAAATTGCAATTGGCTCAGAACAGGGCAGCACGGCTGGCCTTTGGATGTACACAGAGAGCGAACATTGTCAATCTCTCCTGGCTCAAAGTGGAGGAGAGATTGACTTCATCACTACTTGTATTTGTGAGAGGTATTGACATGTTGAATGCACCGAGCTGTCTGTTTCAACTAATGGCACACAGCTTGGACACCCATGCATACCCCACAAGACATGCCACCAGAGGTCTCTTCACAGTCCCCAAGTCCAGAACAGACTATGGGAGGCGCACAGTACTACATGGAACTCTATTCCACATCAAGTAACTCATGCAAGCAGTAAAATAAAAATACACCTTATGGAACAGCGGGGACTGTGAAGCAACACAAACATAGGCAGACACATGCATGCACACACAAAACATACTCACTATACACACACGTTTGTGGTAGATAAGTTGTAGTAAAGTAGGGGCCTGAAGGTGCACACTTAATGTGTTGTGAATGTCTTGTAATGCTTTTTTAATGGTTTCACTGCCTTCATTTTGCTGGACCCCAAGAAGAGTAGCTGCTGCCAAAGCAGCAGCTAATGGGAATCCTTAATAAACACAACTACAAATAACAATAAGGAGATCAAGAAAAAGTAGCATTATTATTTTTTCTGACAATTGGGAAGTGTTAACACTAAATAAATAATACCAGAGGCTGAAAAGTATAAAGCCTTTATTACAGCAAAGCAAAGATTAAAAACAGCTGAATTTGTAAAATGGTTTACTTGACATGTAGTTGTGTGAGGCTTGGTGCTCACTGAATCAGTAGGCTACTAAACAAACACTCAAACATGCAACAGAAGCAGGATCTGTCTTATTTCTGTAGATATATTGATTTATAAAGCCAGGCACATTTAACAGTTAGGCTACTGATTAGACCTAATTAAGTTGAGTTTCCCTTTCTCCTCACTTTTCTTTAGACAATTAAGGCAAGGGCTGCCTCCACTGCATTGTTCTCAACACCAATATGCTGGTTAACTCTGCTATTATGCACATAGCAACATGGTCTAGGAAAAGGCGCCAATTCAAGAGCGCACTGACATTTTTCTGAACCGTGGACAGCGACCACTATCCAACACGGGAGAAAGCGCATTTGTTTTAAAATAATATAATTGTTATTAGTGTTGCACCATTGTTCTTATGTAATATAACCATATACAATTTCAGTAGCACATTTCTTAGACTGATGGGACTATGCCATCCCCACGGCCTCCACAATGGATGAGTCCACCCAGACAGGCACGAATCAGACAGGTGTCTTGTACACTATTACATTATTATTTTTGCTACAAGCTCGACTAAAGAAATCTCGCTCGACCAACAGCCTATCTACCAAACAATCAACCAGTCAACTAAATGGGGTCAGCCCTACCATAATGTGAGTGCATGCGTGCACACAAATTCTACAGGGCGGATGGCTTGACCGAGGATTTTCATTTGCAGGATAGCTTGACCGCAGTCTTTATTTTTGGACTATAATGAGCGAGATACAAGACAGCGATAGTGCTGGACACAAGGAAAATATATATTCATTTACCATTCAAATATTTCAGTTTTTCAACTTCAGCACAAAAGTCTTAAAATCCAAAGTCTCTACAAAAAGATAAAGGATTATATTCTAAATCTAATATATATACTATAAATCTAACATAAATGTACGAAAATGCCACTCAGAAATAACATGAAGATGCAGCTGGCTATCTGTCCTTGTTGCAACGGAGATCCGTTGTCAGGGGGTCGTGCTGAATGGTTTGGTGCAGCATGAGAGCAAGTAGACCAGCCCTGTTGGTCATAGCAGTCCTGACGTTGCGCTCCTGCTCAAAGAGCTCGTCCAGCTTGTACCACTGTTCACAAATACATTTTTGGGAGAAAAGCAAGGGGTAATGATTAATATACCAAAACTCTTTGAAAATCAACTGTCTAACTCACTTTCATAATTCATATCAACTACCATTTATGATGGCCAATAATATGTTTGTTATAACCAGGGTCTTAGTCAATTTCTTTTCACGTTAGCTAAAAATCACTGGAATTCTGGGATCTTTCTGAAATGCATGTGATATCAACAGAGAAGTATATTTTCTGGGTGACTTAAATATTGAATGGCTTTCATCAAGCTGCCCACTCAAGAAAAAGCTTCAAACTGTAACCAGCGCCTGCAACCTGGTTCAGGTTATCAGTCAACCTACCAGGGTAGTTACAAACATCACAGGAATGAAATCATCAACATGTATTGATCACATATTTACTCATGCTGCAGAAATGTGCTTGAAAGCAGTATCCAGATCCATTAGATGTCGTGATCACAATATATTAGCCATATCTAGGAAAAACAAAAGTTCCAAAGGCTGGGCCTAATATAGTGTATAAGAGGTCATACAATAAGTTTTGTAGTGATTCCTATGTTGTTGATGTAAAGAATATTTGTTGGTCCGTGGTGTGTAATGAGGAGCAAACAGACGCTGCACTTGACACATTTATGAAATTGCTTATTCCAGTTACTAATAAGCATGCACCCATTAAGAAAATGACTAAAAACTGTTAAATCCCTATGGATCGATGAGGAATTGAAAAATGGTATGGTTGAGAGGGTTGAGGCAAAAGGAATGGCAAATAAGTCTGGCTGCACAACCGATTGGCAAACGTATAATAAATTGAGAAATCATGTGACTAAACTGAATAAAAAGAAGAAACTACACTATGAATCAAAGATAAATGACAAAGAATGATAGTAAAAAGCTTAAAAAGGAATTTTGGGGAAAAAGGCAAACTCAGCTCCATCACTCATTGAACCAGATGGCTCATTCATCACAAAAACTGATATTGCCAACTACTTAAATTATTTTTTTATTGGCAAGAATGGGATTTTTGCCCATTCTTCAAGGAAAAACTGCTCCAGCTCATTCTGGGCTTTGACTAAGCCATTCCAAGACATTTAAATGTTTCCCTTAAACCACTCGAGTGTTGCTTTAGCAGTATGCTTATTGTCTTGCTGGAAGGTGAACCTTCTCAAATCTCTGGAAGACTGAAACAGGTTTCCCTCAAGAATTTCCCTGTATTTAGCGCCATCCATCATTCCTTCAATTCTGACCAGTTTCCCAGTGCCTGCCGATGAAAAACATCCCCACAACATGCTGCCACCACCATGCTGGTGTGTTCTCGGGGTGATGAGAGGTGTTGGGTTTGCGCCAGACATAGCGTTTTCCTTGATGGCCAAAAAGTTCAATTTTTGTCTGATCTGACCAGAGTACCTTCTTCCATATGTTTGGGGAGTCTCCCACATGCATTTTTTTTTTTTAAAGCAATGGCTTTTTTCTGGCCACTCTTCTGTAAAGCCCAGCTCTGTGGAGTGTACGGCTTAAAGTTGTCCTATGGACAAATACTGTGGAGCTTTGCAGCTCCTTCATGGTTATCTTTGGTCTCTTTGTTGCCTCTCTGATTAATGCCCTCCTTGCCTGGTCTGTGAGTTTTGGTGGGCAGCCCTCTCTTGGCAGGTTTGTTGTGGTGGAATATTCTTTCCATTTTTTAATAATGGATTTAATGGTGCTCCGTGGGATGTTCAACGTTTCGGATATTTTTTTATAACCCAACCCTGATCTGTACTTCTCCACAACTTTGTCCCTGACCTGTTTGGAGAGCTCCTTGGCCTTTATGGTGCCGTTTGCTTGGTGGTGCCCCTTGCTTAGTGGTGTTGCAGACTCTGGGGCCTTTCAGAACAGGTGTATATATATACACTGAGATGATGTGACAGATCATGTGACACTTAGATTGCACACAGGTGGACTTTATTTAACTAATTATGTGACATATGAAGGTAATTGGTTGCACCAGATCTTATTTAGGGGCTTCATAGCAAAGGGGGTGAATTCATATGCACGCACCACTTTTCCGTTATTTATTTTTTAGATTTTTTTTTAACAAGTTATTTTTTTCATTTCACTTCACCAATTTGGACTATTTTGTGTATGTCCATTACATGAAATCCAAATATAAATCCATTTAAATTACAGGTTGTAATGCAACAAAATAAGAAAAATGCCAAGGGGGATGAATACTTGCAAGGCACTGTACCTGTCTAATGGAAGCCTCTCCAACATAATCCAGGTAGAATCAGGAATTTTGTCGCACCTGGACTACTGTTCAGTCGTGTGGTCAGGTGCCACAAAAAGGGACTTAGGAAAATTGTTATTGGCTCAGAACAGGGCAGCATGGCTGGCTATTGGATGTACACAGAGAGCTAATATTAATAATATGCATGTTAAATCTCTCCTGGCTCAAAGTGGAGGAGAGATTGACTTCATCACTGTTAAGTTCATGTTTTAAGTATCCCTAGATTTCTGTTATTACGGTGCCTTCCCTCTTATGAGTACGCCTGCGCGGTAGTCTCTCTGTTGATGGACCTGGCCTGAGTGCAATGGCAACTGTGTACTGTGGAAATACAGTGAAGTAAACGTTGTTAAACTGGAACCTAGTCGTTGTGTCATTTTGAGTTAACAATCACTACTTGTATTTATGAGACGTATTGACATGTTGAGTGCACCAAGCTGTCTGTTTGAGCTGCTGGCGCACAGCTCGGACAACCATGCATACCCCCACAAGACATGCCACAACCCTGACAAAGTGGCCCAAAATAAGAGATTGATGTGGTGCATTCCACTACTAACCACTCTGACACGCTCCAGGTCCACCTCAGCTCTCCTGAGCTTCTCCCAGTTGTAGTGCTTATTACATTTGCGTTTAGAAACCCTGCAGTATTCGCCTGTTGCCTCAAACACATTACGGACCAGAGGACAGCCGCACACCTCATCCCCTGGGACCTAACCACAAAACAAGATAAGGGCAAGAGAAGCCAAGATTATACATCATAAGTCATACAGCAGGACAATTAGTGTGCTTTATTGGCAACGTTTTTTGCATTTGACTTCCCAATCATCACTGACCTTTGGGTCCCTGGAATGTTCTGGGCACAAGACCTGAAGCCTCTTGCAGTAGGTCTTGCTCTGGGGGTTGTACACGTCGCAGAAGAGTCTTGTTGCTCTGAGAATACAAAAGGTACATAGACTACCGTGGTGAAACAATATGGAAACAAAAAAACTTGTTCACTTCTAGCAAACCCATTCAAAGTGCTTGACTCTTACCCTTCGATCTTTGTTGGGTACATGGAACCGAAAGATGTCTGGCTCTCATACTGTCAATGCAAAAAAGAGCGAGAGTATATATCAGAATATTATCAGAAGTGCATATTGGCAACATATATTCGTATTGCTAGTACTCTATATTAAGTTTAATTCTGTACATGTCATCCTCTCCCCATATAGGATGTTGCAGACACTTATCAGCCACTGCACTCTGGATGTATACCACAAACTGTCACAACCAAGATCAGAGAACTAAATAGGAAGTCTCTGTCTTACCGTGTACAAGAAAATGTCTGCAGTCTGAAACCCTGTTGCGCTAAGCTAACTGAGTTAGAGGGAAGGTGTTAAAGGAAGGATACGCTAAAGCATTTTTGGGTTTGACATATAGGCTGGATAAAAAGTAAGAATTTTGGATCAACATCCACAGGCTCACCTTAGCATAACACCTCTCCATATGTCGCAGTGCCACCTTTGGGTTGATAGGGTGACTGCAGGACACACAGAAAATCAGCAGGTCTGTTTCCTCATTGTCCCCTTCATTCGTCTGAAACGAGAACCAAAAGAAAAACATTTCAAAACAATGTTTCACCCAGGAAGCACCTGAAAGATTTGAACACAGGCTTGAACGGGCAAAACATTTCTCTAGCCGAGGAGCTCTGACCCCACTGGATAAATACCACAGTGGCCAATAAAAAGTAAACGGGCGGCAGGTAGCTTAGTGGGTAAGAGCGTTGTGCCAGTAACCGAAAGGTCGCTGGTTCTAATCCCCGAGCCGACTAGGTGAAAAATCTGTCGATGTGCCCTTGAGCAAGGCACTTAACCCTAAATTGCTCCTGTAAGTCGCTCTGGATAAGAGCGTCTGCTAAATGACCAATTTATTTTATTTATTTTATTTAAACATACTAAAGTGACTCACCTCCTCATCCTGCTGGACTACCTGCTGCTTGGCCTTAGCAATGATGCCCTCCAGCTCGTGGAAGCGTTTCTCCATGTCGGTGAGACGCATGCGTGCATTCTGCTGATCCCTTCGGATCCGCTCCAGTTGCTTCTTGCCCTGCTCCTCAGCGATGCAGGGGCTCTGCTGCCACTGCTGGATACGTTGAGGGAGGATCTCATAGAGCCGGCTACAGAGACAAAGTATTTTACAGTTGATTAACTTTCTTACAGTTGCATGTGTCAGGGTTGTAGTTTTGGTGTTTGTGCGCTTACTTTGTAGCCAGCTTCATGCCACATTCCTCTGAGCAGTATTTGGAGTTGGCTCGTGCAGCTTCCACACAGCTGGGCCCGAGGCACTGTCGCTGCCCTCCTCCATCCCTGGCATCGCCCCTATCGCTGTGCCTGACTTTGTCCTTGTGCTTCTGCTTCTGTTTGTGCCGCCGTGACTCTTTCTGATGTGCATTCACAAAAACAAATCGCATTGCACACATTAACATGTAAAATCATTGTACTTATGAATTCTGTCAATAGTAATATTCCCATGATGCAATAAAAAAAAGCTAAAAGCTTCAAATATTTGGTAGATGTGGACTGCAACTGCATGGATAAAAATTTACAATAATCATTGTGTGTCTGCAAGATGTAAAAAATAAAGTTAGCTTACTTTCTTGTCAAATTTATTTTCCCGTCTCTTCACATGCTTGACCTTCACAGCTTTCTTTCGCAGGACAGGGCTGAAGGGAGGCCCGTCATCCTCATCACTGAGCCATGGCTGGGTTGAACAGAAACAATAAGATGAACAGATTCAAAATACTTGAAAAAGGGCTATTCAAGCTAAAGAACAAGTGGATATGGGAGTGTAAGTGCAACAGTAGGACAATAATAAGGATCTGTGTGTATTTTGAATGTGTTTCAAATAGTTCTTGATAGATGAATGAGAAACATGGCTGAAGACTATTGCAATACCATGTTGTCGTCGTATCCCGCTGCCTTGTACTTTTCATAGAGTTCTGCCTCACTATCGTAGTCGTCTGAATATCGTCTTCGCCGGTGGTAGGAATTATCCCGCCTTTCACGCAAATTAAACTCTTCATCCTTTACACGCAACATTTTCTGCAGAGAATACGAGGCATTGTTTCACCGTTTGCAAGACTACATGTTTTTTTGACTACACCAGTTGAAAAGATGTTAGCAGAAAAATAGATGGAATAGTCTCATTAGGAAACTCACCCTGGCTCGGACATCACACTGCCTAAATCGACACTTCTGTCTTATTTTGTTGGGACCCCCAAATTTCTTCATGTCCTTGCAGAAGTCGCATGTGGCGCAGTCCTCAGTCCTCAAGCAGGGCTCACACTCCCCACACATACGAGCAGAGCGCTTAACCTGAGACAAACACAAAAGAGACAAAGATATGTTTGCCAACAGAGTAGTTCCAAAGACGCACAATTTTAGAGATACATTGAAGGAAAATGGGGACATAACGTTTAGATGTAAAATAACTAACCTTAGATCCACGGCGCCTTTCAGATTTATAATCTGGAGTGCTGTTCTGTCTTTCAAATCTTCTCTCTGGCTCTCTCTGGCCCTCTGCCTCTTTTTCACGGCTCTTCTTTGGACGGTATTTTATCTCCAATGATGGGTTTTTGTCTAATCAAAAGTAACAGACATTGTAAGATTAGTAAGCGCATGTGACAAGTACCCATGTGGATGATAGTGAATGGGAAACCATTAAAACCTCACCTCGGCATCGCAGGCAGTACCACTGCCTGATAGCTTTGGCCATCTTCTCTGTGAGATTGATGCAGTTACCATGAAACCACTCATTACAGTTGTCACAACCACTACAAGAAAAACACAGATATGAGCCCCATGAAATCAAGGTTATGGAATGTTTCAAGGTCATGTTATGATTACTTGTGTTGAAGGTGTTGCTGTTATGATCATCTGATTAAACTCACATCATGAAGCAATTGATGTCAGGTTTTCGACAAATGCAGTACACTGGTGCATTCTCGCCCTCCATACTGCTCTCAAGCCCTGGTGCAGGCTCAAAGTCTGACACTTCACTGTCCTGGAAGAGAAACATCATCTAGCCAACCAGACTGAACCTCCAGCGGCATAACTAATACTGCTTGTACTGGAGGTCGATCAGAAGGTCCATTGAAAGCTTGCCAATTTTATTTTCAACCTATACTTTTTTCATTCTCGATTTGTTAGGCACTGGTGTCTTAGACATCTGTTTCCATTTGCAGGTGGAACTCAGATAACCAGAGAATGTTCATTAAAATATAAAATCCACTTTTTGCACGGAGTTCCCTCAGCATTTTATCTGCCGGATATCTCGCAAACAACCCAAACAAAGATTTACACACATGCGACAAGCCATTCCTAATTTTTCTGAATATTCTCTCGTTTTTGGAGTTACCCCTGCAACTGGAAACATCCGTTTATAAAGACACGCCAGTGCAAGTATAGTCAAGTAAATGTTAGTTGAAAATAAATGCACCATGCTTTCAATGGACCGTCGGATAGACCTCCACTCTGATGGCAAACACAACATATATTAATTTGTATAATATCAAAAGTTATTATACTACTGTCTACTCTACATCGACTCGGACATACTAGTCTGCCCAAACGATACAATATTTTGTTGGTTAAAAAAATGTATTCCGCATTCCAGATGGCAACTTCGCTAGCTATATCTAGCTGGGTAGTAATAACTTCAGACATTAAACAGATTGCTAACGCTTAACTAACAATAAAGGTAACAAGCCAAAAGTCTGAAAATAAATCAGCAAGCTGTTTGCATTTCCATTGCGACTGGCTAGCTAGCTAACACAGCTAGCTACCGTTAGCTAGCTAAAAATGCTGGCTAGCATTGTAGCTGGTTTAGCAAGGCGAAGACACCAATCTAGCCAACTGCTATGTTAGGCAACTAAACATGAAATTCACATAAACCAAAACGGTTTTCTTTGCATTAACTTAGCTAACTAACAGTACCATGTGTGATGTATTTGCAATCCTCGATCAAACTTCAACGATAGTACCTAGCTAAACAACTGCTCAGGGTCACAATCTGGGTTCAAGACGCCGGAAATCAAATAATCGGCTGAACTCGGATATCGGACCATTCTTTTTCTTCTTCGATGAGGTTTAACGGCGGTTGGCATCCAATTTGTTGCTTTACCGCCACCTACTAGACTGGTGTACAACTCCCTTATATTTTGCTTGAAAAATTAAAAAAATACCCTACCATCTAACACTACACTCACAAATTCAAAATTATTATTAATAATTAACACCACCCCACTCCACTATTTAAATATATTCATTCCTACCTCATGCCCTCAACCTGAGATGATGGAACATCACCACTTCCTGTAACTCTTCTGATGTTAAGTCTCGCACACCCAAATACCTCTCTGCAGCTCTCCACCACAACCTCAATTTTCTTAGAATTACGTTCCATCCCTGCAGTACAATTAATAACCATTGCTATAAATGCTAAAAATCCAATCTTACTGAAACATATCACTTGTTGTCCTATTCCTCTGCATTGGTACATCTCTACTACTCTCACCACTCATCCCCCTTGACCCATCTTCCTATACTTTCTTCACTGCCTCAGCATATGGCAACTTCTTCACTACTCTTACCCTGGAAACCTCAACCTGCCTCCCTCGCACAGGACATTTCTGATCCCCAGCTCCATTGGCACCCATACAATTAGCACATACCACTACTTTCCCCAATGCTACACATTCCTTTGTCTCATGACCTTCTGCACACTTCTCACACCTTGGAACCTCCCTCCTACACACTGCTGCCACATGCCCATAAGTTTGACACCTGTAACATCGTAATGTATTCGGCACATAAGCTCGTACAGGATAACTTATATACCCTAACTTCACTTTATCAGGCAAAGACTCAAAAGAACAGACAATGACTCCTCTGTTTCCCCACTCTTGCCCCCCTGTTTGTGTCGCACCAAACGATGAGCATCACACACACCGGGAATCTTCCCCTTCAGTTGGTCAATTTTTACATTTACTGCTACCCCAGTAATCACTCCTTTCAATGGCGCCCTTTTCTTGAGAGCGAAACAATTCACCACTCTTTCCCCCATTTGTCTAAATCTGAGCGCCTTCTCCCTATAATAATAATATGCCATTTAGCAGACGCTTTTATCCAAAGCGACTTACAGTCATGTGTGCATACATTTTTTACGTATGGGTGGTCCCGGGGATCGAACCCACTACCCTGGCGTTACAAGCGCCATGCTCTACCAATTGAGCTTCCTCTGACCAACAGAAACACAAACAATTATCACTAGACCACTTCTGGTTACCCTCACCGATTCCACTTTACAGTGGCCTCGGATATCGGACCAACCCTTCTTCTTCTTCTTTAAAGTTTGCTTCTATGATATCATGTCCGTCCGCAAACAATCGTTTAAGTGCATGCCGCCACCTACTGTGCTGGTGTAACAGGGTTATATTGGTGATTCCCCTTGCCACTTTATTGTTAAGCCAATGGGTTTTTGGTTTTGTCTTGCCTTCACCTACTCAACATGGCATCTTATTGGCTGGTTGGCGTAGCTTGCTTACGAGGGAGGATGTTTCAGTTAGAATCGTCCCAGTGAACAAGCACCAAACCAGCGGTAAGTTGTTGGTTGCAAAGCACTGTACGTCAAAAGTGATTTTTATACTCCCAAGTGATGATGTAAATGTATAATTTATATCAATTTGTTTGTAAATGTTATTCGAACATCACACATAAGATGCAGTGTTTTTTGGGGAATATTTGTTGTGCATTTTGTTGTAGAGAATTCCAGCTAATACTAGCTAGCAACTTACTGTGTCTGGTGGGGGGTTTGTATATTTTGTACAGTGCGTGAGTGCAGAGTTGGATGGTGAGCCGTGCATTGCATGACGTGCAATTTTGTGCTGTTCCTATCAGGTACATTGTTAAAGATATTATATTGTAATTGTATTATTTTGGTAACTACATGCCCCAGTGAACAAGTGTAGCCGGCGCGGTCTGCTCGTTGCCGACTACTGCGTTGTGTTCCGGTGCACTGAAGACAAGACACTGGCGTACTTGAAGGCACTTTATTGTGTACAACTCTCTCAATCTGTTCAACATCAAGGAGAGAAAATGTTCAAAACTCTACCCCCGACCAGAATCCGCCTCTCTCAGTCGAGTACAATGCAGACTTAGTATAATCACATTCAAAAATACAAGGAATAAAATACAACATAATTGGAAAATAAACATCGCATCTGGTGTATATCTTATGTATGTGTCATATTGCATGTTATCTCTGCCAAAAACTCTGAGCTTTTAGCCTTTACATTAATACTGTGCAACATGACATAAACCATCTTTCAAATAGGTAATACATACAGTAATATGCACGAAGCAACATGTAATCCTTCACATTTGAGCTTTTCAGTGCCATTAAACACTAATCAATATATGAAAACATTTTAAATGAACACATATTTTTTACCTGATATAGGGAATACATACCTGTTCAACATCAAGGAGAGAAAATGTTCAAAACTCTACCCTCGACCAGAATCCGCCTAACATAAAAAGAACAACGTGGGCTTCAACACAAGAGGATAGAACGACGATTGCTAACTTACAGCTAAACAAAACACGAGGTTAGCTAAGTTAGCAATTTCTCAAACTTTCAAAAACAGCTAAATTCACGACACAGCTTGATTAAATGTACGTACACTCATCATATAATATACATACAAGTTACTATGTGCACTGAAACGTTTTAGTTTTAACAGGTATATCAAGTTTATATCACGCCGAAGTGAACACATACCTCTCAGTCGAGTACAATGCAGACTGAGAAAAGCATGAGACCCCTCCGCATATAACCAAACCAACACTCTAGAGGGCGCACTTACACAACTAACTCTCCCAATATCTGTAAACTACACGAAATGCTGAACAATACAATATTTTGGTGAAATCAACTCACAAAATAAAATAAAAAATAGAAAATGAACGGTTGCAAAAATCTGTAATTCTTTGACCTGTTACATTCACCCCTCTTTAATTTCACCAAAATCCTTCGCACGTCGAGGGTGGAAAATAACCAACACCATATAGAATAAAACTCTTGTCCACTTGGTCCAAGATAGCCCTGGGACTCCATTTCCCATATACAGCGTATAAAGCTACTTACAAAGTAAGTTAAAAGAAAACAGCAGTTGATCAGGCTACTGCCCCTTCTAGTGAATATGATGCCTTATACATCATATGAAATCTTGGAACACTTTCCCTCCATTATGAACATCTCATGACCCAGGTCATACTACTGGTAATAAAGAAAAATATCTTAATCTCAAAAATGTATCTAAAATAAAGAACGGAAAGACAGTGACCTTCTGACTCCTGTAACAAAACCCTTGGTGAGTGGTTTTTGCACCATGTTCTCTATCAAGCGATCGACTGCCTTAACAACCCTGCCAGTACGTGTTCTGACAACCTGACTTTCAAACCCTTGTACTTGGGAGGGTATCTGACTATCAGTCAGTGTAACAGGTGAATTGACGTCCGAAGACCCTGTCTCATCTAAGTCAGGAACATCAATTGGGGCAACAGAGTCAGTGTCAGTCATGTGCAAATCAGGGGGGTCACTGGAATCCGACAAGTCTCTCACAGGTGAGTATTCATTTTCCCCTTGGCCTCTGACCTCTTTAGACTGGGCTCTCGTGGGTGTCAGTTGAACAGACTTCCTGGACAGAGAGTGGGGCATCTCATTCTCCATCTCAGACTCATCAGCTTCTCCAATAGACTCAGAGTCAGAGGATGCGTTTAACCACGAACATGTACGGTCCTCAGAAGCATCTACTGCTAGGCCACTCAAAGCATCAACAGAAGGAGGCTGAAACTCACTGGCCACATCCGAGGTAGCTCCATTCATCTCTTCATCGCTTAGTTCTGGCATGGGCAAGAAGCTCACGTCCAACATCAAATTCCGATGAACAACTTTTGTTTTCCCACTTTCGTCTCTGACTTTGTAAACGTGAGTCTGAGGGT